AAATTGATGTCACATGTGCCTTAAGTTGTGCTTTTGTTTAAGGGCTAATTTTAGAAAATTCCCCCTCAACTAGAGGGGCATGTCAACCCACTCCACCCCTCCCCCACAAACTATTTAAAACTGAGTAAATCTCCGTCAAGTTTTGGGTGTTTTGTAGATAATCTATCGTAACCTTTAAAATATTGATTTAATCCCTATGAACATTTTTCACTTAAACCTGACCTCTCAAACTTAATACCATGGAGTCTTATATATTATGTGATAAGTACTTGACTTGGAAAGACTAAAATATTCACCAACCATAAAAAAATTACCTTGGTTTTTACGAGATGAAAGAAAAAGAGGTGATATAGAGGAAAAAGAATCGTAAATTGATTGTGGTCCTTTTATTATTAGTTGAGGGTTTCTTTTTTATTAAAATTGCTTTCTTCAATATGGTGTTTTGTCCAAATCACATATTAAAGTAACTATATATGTTAAGGGGGTATGCGAATAGAAATGTAAAAGATTAGAGGAGGTTTTATGAGACATGCTATAGTTGAGAGGTGTTTTCTAAAATTGTACCAAATTTGAGAGGGGCTATCTATAACACCCCTCACAATAAGGGAGTTTTGTCAAATTGAATCGGTTGAGTGGGTTTCAAGACAATCTCCATAGTTGAGAGGGTTTTTAAATATTAACTCTTCCTTTCAATATCGCTTATTTATAAATTGTCCCTCAAAATTTTAATAATTTAATATTAGTCCCTAAAATTATGAGCAATTTTAAAATTTTGAGGTAATAACGTAAAAGTATTGAATATTTAAAATCAAGGAACTAATATCTAAATAACATTTACATATTTGCTCTTACAGGCATTGTATTAAATATCAGCCGATATATTACTATATCGACTAATATATTGGGTCAAAGACTTTATCTTGATGATATTTTATATTGTTTTCTTTTGTTTTGTATTTTTTATATGTCGACCGCTATTGAAAATACGGCCAATATATCTCTTTGAAGATATCGAGAAAATCATGTCATTTTTAATTTGATTGTGGGCTCGGGTTTGGATCGTGTTTGGGATACAAAATCGGAACCCACAAAACCCATGAAAGGCCACAATTCTTCTCCCAAATCTCTCCACTCTCGACTCTTCCAAATCTTAAGCATATATCTTGATGCAAGTTCTTATATTTAAAATTCATTACTATGTTAGATTACATATTACAATGTCATGTTATGTATGAATATTATCTCATATAACACCCAGTATTATATACATATCTCTAATTTTTACAATCCGATATTGCAGATTTTATTTGTTTAATATTTATCCAATGTCCAACACTTTGTAGTAGTTCTTCGAAAGCCTCTTCTAAAATTTTCTAAGCGAAGTATATAATTTCAGGGAATAATTCAAAATCTTGAGACTTATTCAAAATATGATACTATAATTTTTCACATCTCATTACTATATAAATATAAGCTATGCATGTGGCCTCATATTGTATGATGAATATTATTTATCAATAGGATCATATACTATTGTTTGTGGATAACAAAGTTTTCAAATCTTTTAAAGGCTTAACTGAACTTAAATACCTTATAATTTATCAAAATTATACTTATATACCTCCACTTGTATCTTGTTGTGCTTTCTTTTTAATTTAAGATAACGTATCATGTTGCACTTAAATGTCCTAATGTTTTCTAAAATTTTATGTTTGTACATTTTGTCCTATTACCTAAACATAAGAATGTTCTTTATATTTTCTTATATGAGTGTTATGGTATAATTTTAGGACAATTCTATGTTTTCTATTCTTTCCATAAATTCTTTACTAACATGTAATTATCTATTAATATATTATTATACATTATTAATAATTAATATGATGTAGAGTTTTATAATAACATTGGAAGTTTTAGAGACCAAATTATACACATTTAAAGTGACATATAATATCATTAATTGACAATGATAAATTAATTTAGTTTAGTTAGTATTAGAATGTAATATCAAAAAAGAATAGGGGTAATATAGTGCATGAAACGTTTTTCCACAACTCCCTCTTTTAAAGAGAGTATGATTAATGACACTTTTATTGTCACATCTAAGATGAACTTTCTTAAAGGGAATGTTGTAGTCCTGCAAACTTAAGGACATCCAAATGGTTTGTGCAGAATAACTGCCTAATGCAATATACTAAAATTCCATAGTAGACAAAGCTACACTGTTTTGTTTCCTACTAGACAAAGAAACCACAAAATATCATAAAAGATGTACTATTTCACTAGTGCTCTTTCTATTTGTATGATACCCTACACAATCACTATCAAAATATCTAAACTAAACCAAAAGAATTACACATAAGAAACCATAACTGAATTTTTGTGTTCCAATTAAATATCAAAAATTTTGTTTGACAGCTTTCAAATTTGATTCTTTAGGATTGACTTTAAACCTTGCACACAAACACATAGAAAACAAAATATTTGGATGAGAAGCAGTAAGATATAAAAGACAACTAATTATTCTATTGTATCTCTTTTCATCAACTGACAGTCTTGTCTCATCCTTCGTAAGCTTTGTTGAAGGACTCGTCAAGGTTGAAATATATTTTAATTTATCCATATCGAAATGTTTTAGAGTCTCTTTCACATACTTCTCTTATGAAATAAACACTCTATCATTAATTTTCTTTAACTAAAACCCTAGAAAATATTTTAGTTTTCCCATCATGCTCATTTTCAAACTCATCATGCATCAGCTTTTTAAATATATATATATATATATATATATATATATATATATAGGGAGAGGTTCAAATAAAAACCTCACTATCCTAAAAAGTAAAAACCAATCCTCTCCATTGGATCTAGATTCATCCAATGGCTGAGATTATAAGACTATTACAGCTGTATAAGGGTAAAATTGGAACAATTCACTATATTAATGGTGGCTGGCAACATTAGAAACTGGAGATAATGATTAAAACCAAAAATACAACACGTCCTCTCTCTCCAAAATCACAGCAACTCTCTCTCTGTCTTCAACATCTCCCTATCCGCGGTCTTCTTCAACCTTCATCTTCAACCACTGTCTTCAATCTTTGTCGTCGTTAAATTATTTTGACGCTTTAATGGTAAGTTTATGAAATTTGTTTAATTTTTAGTCTAAAAGTTTTAGTTTTAACCTTAAAAATCGTAGCTTTTTGTTGTAAAAGGTGAAATATTTCACCTTTTAGTCTGAAAAGTTTTTTGTTTTTTGAAGAAACCAGTTGAAAAACGAAGACACGCATGAGTGAATCTCGATTCACAGCAGTGAATCCAGATTCAGTATGTGAGGTGTTTGTTTTTTACCATAAAAATCGTAATTTTTTGCATAAGTGAATCTAGATTCACTGCAGTGAATCTCGATTCACAGCAGTGAATCCAGATTCAGTATGTGAGGTGTTTGTTTTTTACCATAAAAATCGTAATTTTTTGCTGTAAAAGGTGAAATCTTTTCATGGTTTAAAATTTTATAGCTTGTTTTTTACCATAAGTTTCCTATTCTTCAATATAATCCAAATTCAATGGAGTGAATCCAGATTCACTGGAGTGAATCCAGATTCACTGGAGTGAATCCAGATTCACTGGAGTGAATCCAGATTCACTGGAGTGAATCCAGATTCACTGGAGTGAATCCAGATTCACTGGAGTGAATCCAGATTCACTGGAGTGAATCCAGATTCACTGGAGTGAATCCAGATTCACTGGAGTGAATCCAGATTCACTGGAGTGAATCCAGATTCACTGGAGTGAATCCAGATTCACTGGAGTGAATCCAGATTCACTGGAGTGAATCCAGATTCACTGGAGTGAATCCAGATTCACTGGAGTGAATCCAGATTCACTGGAGTGAATCCAGATTCACTGGAGTGAATCCAGATTCACTGGAGTGAATCCAGATTCACTGGAGTGAATCCAGATTCACTGGAGTGAATCCAGATTCACTGGAGTGAATCCAGATTCACTGGAGTGAATCCAGATTCACTGGAGTGAATCCAGATTCACTGGAGTGAATCCAGATTCACTGGAGTGAATCCAGATTCACTGGAGTGAATCCAGATTCACTGGAGTGAATCCAGATTCACTGGAGTGAATCCAGATTCACTGGAGTGAATCCAGATTCACTGGAGTGAATCCAGATTCACTGGAGTGAATCCAGATTCACTGGAGTGAATCCAGATTCACTGGAGTGAATCCAGATTCACTGGAGTGAATCCAGATTCACTGGAGTGAATCCAGATTCACTGGAGTGAATCCAGATTCACTGGAGTGAATCCGTTTTTTCGTGCCGTGCTGGCCCAGATAAACAGGTCTACGTCTACTTAAAATGGGCTTGATCGTTGTATTTCATATTACATTTTCCTAGGTCATAAATTATTTGTTATGTTTTGCCTCAGTTACTTTTAAAAAAAAGTTTCCTATACTGAGTTATTCTCTTGCTAAATATTACTTCTAAAAGAACATAGCTAAAATCCCAATACTTTAAGCATAACGTTTTAGAAGGCTAAATATCAGAAAACCCCCCTTAAGTTAGGGGTTATTAGAAAATTCTATTTTGACTTTAAGATTTCATTAGAAAACCCCCTAACAGGCTAAATATTAGAAAACTATAATTTTTACATGGATGGCTAAAACTATGCTGGGGTATGTGTTTGCCTATGAAAATTACGATTAACCTTGTTTGGTTTTTCCCCCTCTCTCTATAAAAGAGGGGTTATAACTTCATGAGATACAATATTCTTCACATGATTGTAGAACGCATGGCCATCTACTTGCTTATATATATGGCTACTGAAAGAAATCGATTCATTCAGAGAAAAGACAAATTAGAAACGAAGTGGAAGTATAATGTACGCCAAACGCTTAATTAAATTAAATTCAACTCGTATACAATCTTATTCATCACACAAATCACACGAATTTCTTAAAAATCATAATATATCTCACGCTGCTTTAGACACGAACAAGAACAAGGGGACACGCATTGCATAATATGTAATACTCCATCACTATGAAAGGAGACTTGACTTAATTAATTATCACGGCTTCACAAAGATGAAGAGCTTCTGGCCCATTTGGCAGTGTTTGCCGTGGGCCTTGCCGCAAATGTACCACTTCCTCCCTGGTGACGTCAGCTTTATGACGTCGTATCCGCTCGTCAGAGCCTCGGTCGCCTGAGGCACCTTGCAATAATTGAATTCCGGCCCGCTCACCTTGTAGACGTTGTGATATCCGCGTGGGTACTTGAACACTGTAATTATATCATGTCATAGGAACATTTATACAATCAAGAAAGAAAAATACTTTTGCTAAGATTATTTACTTAATGTAGTATATAATTTCAAATATCTAGATATAAGTTTTTTGTGTCATCACATCACAAAAACAAAAGAAAACTGTATCCTAGAAGAGCTGTTTGGCAAAAATTTGAACCGGATTGGACCTTAATCTAGAATGGTTCTGAACCAAGAGAAAGTGGTCCAAAACTAAACTGGTTTATGGCAAGAACAATTTAAGAGGGACTTGCCAAACTAAAATTAAGTATTATCATCACCAAACAAGTTAAAAATTACAAATCAAGAAAATGTTCATACCAAGAGAGTCTCCGACTCTAAAGTCTCTTCCACGAGCCCAAGCTGCATAATCAAAATTGAACTTCCACCCAAAAGCATCACCAACAAAATGATGTATAGGGTGTCGACCAACTGGTGGTTTTGGTGGCATATATGGTTTAGGCTTGACATAGATGAACAATTTTTGGCCCATCATGCAATGTTTTCCATAGGCTTTGCCACAAATGTACCACTTTCTTCCCGGAGTTGTGAGGGTTATAACGTCGTAGCCGGTGTCCATGGCTCCATTGAGTTGTGGAACTTTGCATTTCTCGAAGTCATAGCCATCTACTTTATAGACGTTGTGATACCCCTTTGGATACTTGAAAACTACAACATGAAAATTTAATTGTGAGATTAGTATTATATGAAGATGCCTGATGTAACTGCTTATTGCTCTTGTTCTTCTTCGTTTTTTTAGTCACATATTATACACGGTGTTATTTTTCTGCTAGTTTTTAAATTCCTATATAAATATCATGAAGTTGCAGTTCTTGAAAACATCTAATTAAAAACTAACTGACAAACACTTACTCGGAGGTTGTATGTGTTAATAAGGTAGTTACACATCCATACTGTAGGGGTGATAAATTGCAAAAAAAAATAAATTAAAAAAAACCATATTTATGGTCTTGTGTAGAACTCATTACCGCTCAACTTGTTTCCTAGCACTTATCAGCCTACAACTTTTTTTTGGGTGGGGTAGGGTGGGGGGATTTCTATCTATGTCATATCCTCCTCAACAATGCCAAACTCTAGAAATGATAACTGCTAATAAACTGGGTTAATTATAAGGAAAAATTTTACTAGATATATGATAACATAAGCATATGACCATTTGTGAAAGTTGTAGAGTTTGATGAAAATATATATACCGAGTTTGTCTCCGACATAAAAGTGACGACCCTTAGCCCAAGCCGCGTAGTCGAAGTTGAGGGCCCAACCGTAGTGATCACCTACAAAATGGGTCGTCGTTGCTCGAGCCAAAGATGGAAGAGTAACAAAGGCCAAAACAATGGCGGAAATGAATTGAACAAGAGCCATAGATTAATGTTGCCCCCCTCTCCTTTTAGTTATTAATTAGCTAGCTATATTCTTGTAGAAGAATATTGAGTGCATGTTTCATATAGTCGGAGTCTGCATTTATAGGCTTATTATCCTTATGAGCAATGCCACTAAGAATTAATGTTGGCCGGCGATATGCCATAAAAAATTAATAACAACAAGATGCGGGTGGTAACGGTAAGGATCGGAAAGGGTTTTGAATGACGACTTGGACTCCAATAATTGGGGTAAAAAAAATAATCCTAAATAGGAATCCATTGTAGAATCCTAGGGGAAAAACCCTATGAGAAAGGAGAACGCGGAAATTGTTTAGTACAGATCTTAAAGATGCTAATTGTGATGATAAAGTCTAACTTCACTAATAAACATCACCTCAGAACCAACCGTATGCGAGAAAGAGGTTCTGCTCCACACAATCAGGGGTGCAGTTACAAAATTGCCATCATTTTAATCACTTGACGGAGCAGATATGCCTCTCGCTTGCACTCGATTCTAACCAAAACCGAACTTTCAATAATACATTATTAATGATTTCACTAGTAGTGTAGACTGATTGTTGTTTTAGAATTGATAATTAGACATGATACAACCTTCTTCCTCGTATGATTTCTATAGAGTCATATGTAGGATTTTTTTTAACCCCTAAATCATGCCAAACCAATAAAAAAAGATGGATCCAACCAGTTGCGATACATATCTTTGAAAAAATAATTTGAAGTTAGATGATTACGGACCACCGATTTTAAGATTTGAATTAGGACATATATCCAATTCTCCTTGCTCTTTATATGATTTGATGTGGAAGGGTTGTTGTGCGCGAAAGCCACCAATCGTTGTGCTTCGAGGAACCAAACACAAACGTCGAGAGAGAAAGCCAAATAATGCAAAACAACGACACAAACACAAATAACCAATTTTTACGTAGTTCGGCAAGTTTCCTATGTCCACGGGACAAGAAGGGGATGAAGTTTTCACTAATAGAGAAGAAGAGTACAAACTGAGATTACAAATCACTCAAACTCACCAATTAATCTCACCAACAAAGCTCTTAAACTCTCAAACAAAACCCTAACCAATACCTCCAGAAAATATATCTTTTCTGTGCTCCAAATATCCCCACAGCAGCTCTCCTGAAACCCTAAAACGTGGTTGCTATTTATATCAAACAATAATCCCAAACAGAATAGGAAACCACAATCAGACCCAAACTCGACTGGCGGTAAATAAAGAAAAGAATCAAATGGTGGAAAAGAATCTGTCTTCGTCCCTTTCATCTCCTCTCTTCTTCCCTTATGGTCCAGCTGGACTCCCTAAATTTGCTTGAAGAAAACATAGCCTTATCTCCCTCAGAAATTATCTCTAGAAGTGATCTGAAAGATCAAATTCTTGCCTTAGCAAATGCAGAAGAAATTAAATGGAAACAAAGGTCTAGAATTCAATGGTTAAAAGAGGGAGACAATAATACCCGTTTCTTCCATAATGTTGCCTCCCACAGAAGGAGGAAAAACTTCATTTCTTACCTCATGGAGAATAATTCAATCATCTCATCAGAATCAGACTTGAAGAGGGCTTTCTTTGACTTCTTCTCTAACCTCTTTCGCCAACCACCAGTGGCTAGGCTATCAGTTGATTGGAACATCCTGTACCCTGCTGCTCCACCTGATCTCTCCTCTTTAGATCTACCCTTCTCCTCTGAATAAATAAAAGCCGCAATTTTTGATCTTCACCCAGATAAATCTCCAGGCCCTGATGGCCTTCCTCTACTCTTTTACCAAACCTTCTGGAATTCCTTAGAGGAAGATTTTATAGCCTTCACCCAAAATTTTTTCCTTCATCCTCAATCCCTTCATAACATTAACTATTCATACATCTGCCTCATTCCTAAGAAGGAGGGTGCCAGCTCCCCCAAGGATTTTAGACCTATCAGTCTCATCAACAGTTCCTGCAAAATCATTTCGAAGATCTTGGCTAATAGACTTAGCAGGGTCATCCATCTCCTAGTAGATCCATCCCAGTCAGCCTTCCAAAAAGGCAAATCATCCATTGACTCTATTCTGCTAGCCCACGAAATGATTAATTTTTGCTCTTCTAGAAAGAAGGATATATGTGCTATCAAAGTAGATTTCTTCAAAGCTTTCGATTGTGTCAATTGGGACTTCCTTCTCTCCCTCCTTGAAGCTAGAGGCTTCAGTCAGAAATGGTGTCTTTGGATTAAACACATTCTTTCCTCCTCCAAATCAGCAGTCTTGGTTAACGGCTCTCCAACTAAGTTCTTTAATTGCTATAGGGGATTGAAACAAGGGACCCCCTTTCCCCCATGCTCTTTCTCTTGGTGGCAGATGTCCTAAACAAAATGTTACTTTCAAGCCATGTTTCTGGAGATTTGTCTGAGCTCCAGCTGAAAGGTGATCTTAACAATATCAGGTCACTTCAATTTGCTGACGACACAATCATTTTTGCCAAAGCCTCCTCTACAGATATGACCACTCTAAAAGATATTCTCCTCATATTTGCTCACATTTCTGGTTTGGCTGTGAACTCCAACAAAACTTATCTCTATTACCTTGGGAGATCTCCCAGAAAGGCTACTCACCTTGCCAGACTTCTAAATTGTTCTGTGGGATCCTTACCCTTCTCCTATCTCGGTCTTCCTCTCAAAAAAGGAACACTATCTAGAAGAGATTGGCTTCCTCTCCTTGATTCTTTCTCTAAAAAACTATCTCAATGGAAAAATAAATCCTTATCTATAGGAGGTCGTCTAACTCTGGTTAACTCAGTCCTCTCCTCTCTCCCCCTTTATTATATTTCTTTCTTTAAATTTCCTCAGTGACTGATTCATGAAATTGATAAAATCAGACGGAATTTCCTTTGGAATGGGAGCAATCTTCCCTCCAAAGTAAAGTGTTTGGTAGCTTGGAAATCAGTTTGCAGACCGAAACAAGAAGGATGACTGGGTGTTATCAATCTTCAAGTCTTTAACCTCTCCCTCCTCTCTAAATGGATTTGGAAAATTTTTGAGAGGGACTCATTAATCAGTAGAGTGTTCTTCTCCTTGTATTCTAAGGATGATTCCAACCCAGTCGAGCACATATCCAGATCAAAATCATCCAACCTGCTCAGAGAATTAAGCTTAATAATTTCAGTCTTCCTCTTTTTTGCTAGATGGAATGTAGGCAATGGTAAGACGTGTAGCTTCTGGTATGATAAATGGTCTGGATCCAACTCTCTGAGCAGCCTCTTTCCGAAGGCTTTTTCTCTTGCTTTCTCTAAAGATAGCAACATCAAATCTCAAGGTCTCTTCTTAAATCAATCTTGGCACTGGCGCCCAATTCTTAGAAGAGGTATTTCTCCTGAATCGTATAGAGAGGTACAGGATCTCCTATCCTACATAGAACCTTTTGGCTGCGATACCATCTCATCCAAGGATTCAGTATGGTGGCCCCTTAACTCATCAGGAAAGTTTTTGGTTAAATCTCTCCACTCTACTCTTATTTCTGGAGGATGCTTATCCAGATTCTACAATTTCATTTGGAGATCTCCAATCCCTCTGAAAGTTAAAGTCTTCTTCTGACTTGTGAGCAAACAAAAACTCAATACAAGGGCCAACCTAGTCTCCAAGGGTTGGATCGGAGACCCTAGGTACCCTTTTTGCTATTCAGAAGTTGAGAGTCAGGATCACTTGTTTATTGCATGCTCTTTTGCATCTTCAATATGGTCCACCCTCTTCCCTAGCTTCAATGCTGCCTCCTGGCCTCTTTCGATGAAAGTTTTGATTCTAATCAAAGAATCACCAGCTGTCAACAAATGTATTTGGAAGGTTGTGCTTCCATGTTGTTGTTGGTGGATTTGGAACAGCCGTAACTTACTCATTTTTAGAGATAAGCAGCAAAATTCTGATCTTATTGCTGCTAATGTGGCTAGATACGCTCTTCTTTGGGCAGGTGCTCATGACGACAGGCTGGCAAAAAGGATTCGTAGGGCAGTAATTAAGCTGCAGTTTGACGAAATCGCGAAGAAGAAGGCAGCTGTCGAGGTGGGAGACAATTTCTCGACAGATTAGTTCCTGTGAAGACTTGGTCTCTGTCTAGATTGTCTTGTGGACTTTCTTTTGGGAAGCTTGTCTAAGGCGTAATTTTCTACTTCAATCACTTCTAGTCACTTAAACTACCTTTGTTATCAAACAGTTTCCTGATGTAGTGTTTTGTAAGTCACCATAGTCTATGTTGGTGACTCTTAAGTTTCTCTTTTTTTTATCTCCAACCTAGATTACATCTGGTGGTTAGGTATGTAAATTCCTTGTTTTGTTTTCTTGGTATAAATATATATATATAAAATGAGCAGGAAAGTTTTTCCTGCTTCTTCAGCTCAAAAAAAATCACAAAATATTTGGTATGAAGACTAATTCTCTCTTCTTATCCCTTTTAACGTACGGCCTTGTCCTTTTCGTTTGTTTTGTGGCAATAGTTGGCCAGTAGGTTATATTTATATCGTAGTCTGTTGGAAGTAGCCGAATTTGACAACGTATCTTCTAATAACTTAGAAACCTAGATTGGATCAAATATTTGTTGCTGTCTTTTTTTTAATCAATTTACCAATCATCAAATACTATTTGTTATTGACATCTTCATTTTGAAGAATAAGTCCTCCTATGACGCAAGTGGAATTAAAATTTCAACACTTCTTTACATTAGAAGAGACGGCATCGTATCGACTATTATTGTGTTATAGTTAACTTTTACGTTATATGTTAGAAAAATTATAAAGGAGACATGAATTCTGAGGCGTAAAATACTTTCCTTAATGAAACATTTAAAGTTGCTTCAGGTTAATGCAAATTTTCTTCCCAGGATACAACAGAAAATAAAAATTCCAGCAAGCAAATATGGAATTTTTTCACTAATTCGTTGTGAAACAAGTTTGTAGTATTGCAGATGTTTTTGACAGAAAAGTTTTGAAAAAAAGTGAAGTTAAAATATTTAAAATTATAAAATAT